AACCCGAACCTAAATCTCAGCCTAAGAATAACGATCTTTCGAAGGAAGTGCACAGAGAGCATTATAATCCTTTTGATACCCAACTTGCGGAAATAGATTCGATGTTAGCAGAAATGTGATGCAATCCAACTTGGAATCAAAAAGACCTATAAAGCTATTATATCAGGACTTACTGATATCGGCAAATTTTTTCTTGATTACTCATCATGGATTGCGGGTAATAGTAGATATAATGGAAATAGATAAATAATCATTAGTTATTTTTTTCAGCTAGAGATATTTCCGAATTGGCAATCAGAACGAGCTGTAATCAAGAATATAAGCAAACCCAGATGCAAAGATCCTCGGTACCGAAATCCTCAGAAACCCATTGTGACCGAATATAATTAATAGTTTCTTCTTTGGTAGATTTTCATGTCTCTATTTGTGTTTTATGCTAAAAAAAAAAGTGATTAATGTTAACATCAACCAGAAATATGAATTCCGCCTATGCCAATTTTGCTAAGGTGGATATACACAAATCACTTCTCATCTAATAGCTCAGCGGTATAGTGGGTAGCTTGTCGGATCTACCTCTCCTCGCTAAAAGATAATGATAATCTGGCAACCACACCCTTAATAAAAAAAAGCTTTGCGAGGGAGGGTTCAATCGGCCCCTAGACCTGCCTCGAAAGGCGATGACTGCCCCTATACTTCAAGCTTTGTTTTTATATGCCAAGAAATCTGAAATTTCAGCCACCCCATTACTCACTTTTGTCGGGTCGCCCATAAAGGACCTGATTATGCAGAGGGATTAACCCACAAATGCATTTTAATCTAATGTTGTGTATTATTATATGATCACTGGATCTTCTCTTTTTTTACGAATAAATAAGATGTATTGTTGTTGTATATAAACGATTAAGCTTTTTTTTTGACGTCAATCCAGGAAGAGAGATGGTAAAGATATTTCCGGTGGTATTAAATGTGTTTCATATTCTTCCGCTATAATAAATATTGTAGTATAGAATATGCGTAGCACAGGCACATAGTGCCATATAACCAAAAAGTTGTTATACGATTAGCTCCGCTATTAATACACAGTAAAAAAAACCAGAATTGAAAATTTAATAATTATCTTAGACAGGTCAGTACGCCTATTCTTCCTCATTTTCACAATTCGTGGGTTACAGATAATGGTGCTTCGTAGTAGAGAATGGGCGGAGCCCAGAGTCAGTGACTCATAAGTAATTAATTCCGATTTGATTTTTTTCTCGGTCAAAGATATAGTGTATAATAATATAACCAAAATGTTGTTTGT